TGCTCTCACATTGGAATTCATACAATTCCTACTAATATATATATATATATATATATATTGAATAGAAAATCAAAACAAATAAATAAAAAGAATTTAAAAGTTGAATGCTTAATTACATATATCCATTCACTGTCCACAGATTGATTTTTCAGCAACTTTACACATTGTCATTGTCGAAAATAGTAAAGCAAAGTTCATAATGGGGAGAGAGATTGAGTAGGCATCAAGTCACTGCAGGAATTTTAACTTTTAGTGGCGTTTAAAAAACGCCGCTGTAAGTGTCAAAAACGCCGTCAATTCTTTTTGCGACGCTTAGCTCCGAACGCCGAGGATCCGGCCGTCGCTATAACTTTATGACGTTTTAAAAACGTCGTGATATTAATATAGGCGGCGTTTTTAAAAACGCTGTGAAATGTCCTACTAAACTCATGTTGACGTCACTGGTGACATTTAGCGACGTTTTTGGAAAAACGTCGTCATATCTTTTGCATAAATCTGACCGTTAGTATGTAGGGTTTAAGAGGCGTTTGTAAAAACGCCGTCATATCCTCTTTTTTTTTTTTTTTTTTTTTAAATTAGTTTGAAATTAGGCTAATTTTATTTGATTGAACTAAAAAAATATAGATCATTCCAAATATAAATAACACCCAGCTCATTAACCCAAATTGTTTAATTCCATTTTATCCACATAATATAAACCATGTTACAATGCTTCCTCCAACAGTTATTTGATGCCACCTTGTAATCGTGTTGCACATCAGAAGAAGCCGCAAATTAACGGTTATTACAAGACAATTGAAGATCATTGTGCTGACATCCCAAAAGCCAAACATCTTGCCATTCGAATCAACACTGTTAGAACTGGAAGTGATCACAAAATTGTATATGACTAATGATTGGTAAATGAAAACAAAGCCAAGGTCACCACAACTCTCCATTTGAAGAAGGTATTTCTTATTCCCTCCTTGTACAACTGGGGGTACTTTTTGGAAAGGGAAGCACTGACATCCTGCCAAAGAACATATGTGATCATTCAGTCACATTTAGATTGGTTGCAAAAATAAATGACAAAAAAACGAAATGTGAAATAAAAATTGTGAAACACCCATAACCAACTTTATCCAAAAACAGTTTGACTTTGATATAAACTATATACTTAACATTGTGAAATGTGAAACACCCATAACCAACTTTATCAACCTAATATTCTAAGCAGCAATGGTGCATATATAGCATGCCATGTACCTATAAAAATTCTAGTAGAAAACTATGGTGTTTATAAACTTTTCATTGCTTTTGTTTATAAAAACACAAATAATGAAATAAAAATTTTGAAAAATGACACTAGACTATGTTAAGATGGATGGATTAGGTTTTTTTAAATCAGTATTGCCTAGTGATATTTTCTTGAGTGTGGGACCAACCAATGTAAGTAATACATTTCAAAGCATTGAACTGATTATGGGAAGAAATGAATGAACCCCTGTTTTTGGCCCACCGGACAGCATATGACAAGCGAAAGCACGGTCAAATACAGATCTGAGAAAGAAAAAGGAATAGGAAGATCATGTTTTCTTCACAATATAATTGCACCACATCTACTATTTATTGTTACTCTTTTCTTTTATGCAGAATTGTTAAAATTTGCAAAATTGACCATTATTTTATTAGTATAGTATCATATATTTGTTTATTATCTTATATGAAACATTCAAAATCTAAAGTCAAATAATTATATATATACACACCCACATATAAAACAACATGAATGTTCACAATATATTGGTTCAGGAAGACAATTTTAGATGGTTACGTAACAGGTTTCCGATACAGAAGACGGTACAGATAAATTCTGAACTGGAAATCTTATTTATTAAAATAAAAGCTAAACTTACTTACTTGACATGTTGAACTTTACCTCATCATCTTCACTTCTCAACCTCCCCGTCAATCGGGGCATAGAGATGTTGGACTCTAGGGAGCTTTCGAATTGCCTTCTTTGGTTCAACTAATATCCTGACACATATAGCCTACGAAGCAAAATAGAGTCAAAACATAGATGTTGTTCTAGAATTATTCGCGAGGGGTACAAGTGATTATAATTTAAATAGTGAAAAATGCACTAGATTGGCAGTTAGATATTTGTCACAAGTACTATGAAAGACCAATGCCTTTCAGGTTTAATTTTTCCAAGGGGTGTTTGTTTCCTGAGAAATTGTTGGGGAATTGGTTGCCAACAGGGGAGAATGGTTTGTTGGGGATTGCTTGACAAATAACTCATAGTTGCAAGGTTTGTAGAAAAGGCTTGCCAACCAAGTCTCATTCCAGATCCGGCTAAACAGCACAATATATTTATATATAATAAACTACGGTTCAAAATATACATATTCTCCTTCTTTAGACTGTTAAAATTATTATCTTTGGTTGAAATATTCATATATATGATATATAATTATCCTTATATATGACATAATAAATATATAAAATTATATATTTTGTACGTGTCACCCACGTATCGTGTCCTACATTTTTTGAAAATTTACGTGTTATCATGTCCGTGTCATGTCTAATGGCGTAGCGGGGACTCAATTGCATGGACCTCTAGGGCATTCCTTTTGTTTAGAGTGTTATGTCAAGTTTGTGCATATTTATATTTATTCTTATCGAAGTTCATTTAGGATTATTTTTGATATGTGGGTTGTTTATATCCCATAAGTTTGGATGGTTTTTTTATTACGGTTGATTTTGCCGTTTATAATTGTGGCATGTCTGGATTGAGTTTTGGTTATTTATTATTGGACTATTGTTCAGTTGTTCAATGTGATTGGATTCGTGTTTAGGCTTACGTGTGCCTTGGGCTAAGTCCCTGTGGGCCACGGCCGGTCATGCCCGGATTTGGGGTGTGACAATTGACACATCCCTCTTAGGCTTCTTTCTTATCCTTTTAACTCATTTATGATGCTCAATGCATGCCTAAGAGTGCTTAGAAGTGAAAGAGAACGGAAAATGAAACACATAATACTTTTACAAAATTTTTGAAACAGGGGTCCCCGCTCGAGCGTGGGTTCCCCCGCTCGAGCGGGAGTTGGGTCTACAAAAATACTGGTTGCCTTATTTTTATGCTCGAGCGTGACTTCGGACGCTCGAGCTGAAAGTCACTCTACATAGCTCCCCGCCCGAGCGTGAACTTTCTCGTTCGAGCAGACACCAATGTCTGTTGTCTGCAAAAAGTTCTGGGAGCTCGCATTTCACGCTCGAGCGTTGCTTTCTCCGCTCGAGCTGACATGCCAAATTCTGGGTTTTCCAGAACTGTTCTTGAGGCTCAAATTCAACATTCAAAGGCTTTAAAGCTCTAATTAAGGCACCAAAAATAGGGAAACACAATATATATCATGAGTATACAACAATATGAGGCCAATTGCTCAAAATCATGGTCACATTCTCAAATTGTTCAACATTTCTTTTGTATAATAAAAACTCATGCATTCAAACCTCATATAAGCTCCATATCTTCAATAATCAAACATGCATGTCAGATTTTGAGTTCATTTCTATTTCAAATCTTGCAAATGACACTTATTATGATGAAACCCATGAAAATTATGCATGCATGTGAAGATTGGTGCCCAATTCTCCATGTTCGACATTAATCATGCTAGCTTATGCAATTTTATGGCAATTCATGGTGATTCATAGTAATTTCATGCATGCATGTGCATTCTAACTTCACATACAACTCAATACCAAACCACTTGAATTCACAAAATCACAAGCTCAAACTCATGAATTTACTCACCTAGGAGCTTTAATCTTCTAACTTATGGTTAATTCTTGAGTTGGTCTTCAAATTACCCAAGTTTCTTGCTCAATTCTTCAATGGCTTTCCTCCTCCTCTCTCTCTAGCCGACCCTCTCTCCCTTTCCTTAGAGTATTCTCAACCAAATTGAATAAAAGAGAGGAATTGAGTGCAAATGACCCCTTTTATATAAGGTCCCTTAATCACATTTGATTATAGCTAATTAATAGCACTTAATTAATCGTTCTGAATCTAATTATTTTGATCCGAATCAATCTCCAATTAAATTTCACCGTAGGCTCTAAAAATTACACTAATCACAATGGCGTAGTCAATTTTGGCTCCTGTGGCCAATATGGCCTTTAATTTTCAGTTTATAACAGTAAGTTGAACAGATATTCCTACGGTGAACAGATAGAAATTCAAAACCACATATATTCATATAAATGGCACACAAAATCATATCAAACATATAATCACAATCATAATTAAGATTAATTAGCATAATACGGGACAGGGTTATCACAGTCTTCCCCCCTTTAGGAAGTTTGGTCCTCCAAACTTATTTTACCTTCGTTGAAAAACAAATGTGGATAGCGTAGTTGCATTTCATCCTCTTTTTCCCATGTGGCATTTGTCCCATAGTGTTCTTTCCATTCCACTTTCACCATCAGGATGGACTTGCTTCTCAATTGTTTCATTTGTCGGTCAATGATTCGTTCCGGCCATTCGGCGTACTCCATATTTTCATCAAGATCTACCCAGTGATAATCAATCACATGAAACGGGTCTCGAAGGTAACCCCTTAACATTGACACATGAAACACATTATGGATTTGCTCGAATCTCGGTGGCAAAGCAACTCTATAAGCAACTGGACCAAGCCTTTCTAGAATTTGAAACGGCCCAATGTAACGGGGCGACAATTTACCTTTCTTTCCAAACCTGACTTGGCCTTTCATCGGAGTCACACGGATGAACACATGGTCACCAACCTCATACTCAAGAGGTCTTCTTCGAACGTCTGCATAATTCTTTTGTCAGTCCAGAGCTGTTTTGAGCCTTTGCTGAATAGTTTTGATCTTCTCAGAAGTGTCTTGCACAATTTTAGGCCCAAGAAAAGCTTTATCCCCGACTTCTGTCCAACAAATTGGTGATCTACACCTTCTACCATACAAAGCCTCGTATGGTGCCATACTGATGCTGGAGTGGAAGTTGTTATTGTATGCAAACTCTGCGAGTGGCAAATAATCTTCCCAACTCCCTTGAAAATCCAAGGCACACATCCTTAGCATATCTTCCAAGGTCTGTATTGTCCGTTCTGATTGCCCGTCTGTCTATGGGTGGAATGTGGTACTAAACCTCAATTCTGTCCCCATAGCCCTTTGCAAACTTTTCCACAATCTGGACACAAATTTTGGATCTCTATCCGAGACAATAGATACCGAAATTCCGTGTAAATGAACAATCTCATCAACATATATAGTAGCCAGTCTATAAGTATCAAATGTAGTTCTAACAGGTAGAAAATGTGCAGATTTAGTCAGTCTATCAACTACAACCCAAATAGAATCCATACCTCAAGGAGTCCGAGGTAGACCAACAACAAAATCCATAGTCACATGCTTCCACTTCCATTCAGGAATAGGGAGAGGTTGAAGTAGACCGCCCGGTTTTTGATGCTCAGCTTTTACTTGTTGACACTGAAGGCATTTGGGCACATACTCTGCAATTTCCTTCTTCATTTTAGGCCACCAATAGCTTTGTTTCAAATCCTGATACATTTTGTTATTGCCCGGATGCATAGCGAATACTGATTTGTGAGCTTCATCCAGAACTCTTTTCTTTAGCTCCGGAACGTCTAGGACACACATTCGATTTCGAAACCTTAACACTTCATTTTCAATGCTGAATTCTGCTTTCGGACTTGTCTCAAATTCATCAATCACTCTCTTAAGGAAGTCATCCTTTTTTTGTTTCTGTTTAATCTCATCAATGATAGCCGGTTCGGCTGAAATGGCGGCTATCAGTCCGCCCTGTTCACACAATACTATCTCAATCTCGAACTTCTCAAAATCTTGCAAGATCTCCTTCTGTTCAGTAAGCAAACAAGCCAAACTTCCCATCGATTTTCTGCTCAAGGCATCAGCAACTGTGTTGGCTTTCCCGGGGTGATATTGAATCTCAAGGTCATAGTCTTTTACCAATTCAAGCCATCTCCTCTGTCGCATATTCAACTCTTTTTGCGTAAAGAAGTATTTCAGGCTCTTGTGATCTGTGTGGACTTCACATTTTGCCCCATATAAATAGTGCCGCCAGATTTTTAAAGCAAACACAACTGCAGCCAATTCTAAATCATGTGTTGGGTAGTTTTTCTCATGTGGTCTCAACTATCGGGAGGCATAAGCAATTACCCTTCCATTCTGCATTAACACACAACCCAAACCTTTATAAGATGCATCATTGAAAATCACAAAATTTTCCGTACTTGATAGTAGTGTCAAAACTGGTGTAGTGGTCAATCTTGTTTTTAGTTCATGAAAGGCAGTCTCCCTTTCGTCATCCCATTCAAACGGTTGCCCTTTGCGTGTCAGTTGGGTAAGAGGCACAACTATTTTCGAAAAGTCTTTCACAAATCTCCCGTAGTACCCAGCTAAGCCCATAAAACTGCGGACCTCTGTTACATTTGTCGGTGTGGGCCAATTCACAATTGCCTCTATCTTCTGCGGGTCCACTGAAATCCCCTCTTTGTTGATCACATGTCCTAAAAATATGACTTCATCTAACCAAAACTCACATTTCTTTAGTTTAGCAAATAATTTCTTTTCTCTAAGTGTTTGCAAAACAGTCCTCAGATGTTGTTCATGTTCAAGTCTGTTCTTCGAGTATATCAAAATGTCATCAATAAAAACTACGACAAATTCATCAAGGGGTCTTAAAAATTCGGTTCATTAGGTCCATAAAGGCTGCTGGAGCATTTGTCACCCCAAATGGCATAACAAGAAATTCATAATGTCCACACCTTGTTCGAAATGTAGTTTTCTCAACATCCTCTGCTTTTACCTTCAACTGGTGATACCCGGATCTCAAATCAATTTTGAAAAACACTTGTGATCCCTACAACTGATCAAACAGGTCATCAATACGAGGTAAGGGATATTTATTCTTTATTGTTACCTTGTTTAGCTCTCGATAATCAATA